TATGGTGATTAACATAACATAATAAAAGAAAAGAAAAAAAAAAAAAGAAAGACTTTCTGCTTCAAACACATAGCTGCCATAGAAAAACAGGAAACCAAAGAGACATCCTGGAGTTCTAAACAAGGTAAACCTGTCTCCTGACCAGAAATGCTGTTCTTCATTGCTTACTTCATTGCGCTAACTCTCCCATCAATTTTTGACTTTCTTAAAAGAGGAATTTTGTTAAAATTGTTAAGCTTCTGTGCATAACACTGTGCTGATAAGGTTCTGTTAAACATACAGTCTAATGGATACACCTATATATTTATATATTTTTATATAACAATAGAAAAGTACTGTTTAAGTTTTATTACTTAAGAGAATGAGAATATCCATTTAAAAATATAATTATGTTCATTATAAAAATGTGATTTTATGTATCCTATTACTAACAATGTTTTATCTTAGATCAGAATTAAAAATGTGAACTCTTACAAAAGAAAGTAAATTTACCTTTTTACATTTATACATAGCCAAAAAAACAAAGAAAAGTTTTTCCTGTTTCTTAACTAATTTTAAATTTAGGTTAGTTAGTCCAAAGTAGCAAAACTGGTCTCCAGCTACACAACAGAAGCTAAGCAGCTTAATTTATGCTTAAAGGATGTTTTTTAGACTGCAAGTTGATTCTAATGGGTAGAGTAGTTTATTTTGGATTTTTGAGGTTATCCTGGAATATGTGGGAACTCAAGAAATTACTTCTTTGAAAGCTCAGGGCCATTTGTGATCTTTTTTAAAAATAAACTTTCCAAAATATTATATTATGCTATTGCCTTAAATACTGAATCATGATAGCCCATACACTCGAATTTCTCCAGCTATTTTAAGAATTAAATGGGATAATGAAGCCCTTTAAAATACTTGGCAACATAATAGAATCTCCCCCAAATGGCAGCTATTCTTGTTGTTAGTATTAGTATATTTGTATTTAACACATAAAGATGTTAGTTGACATACTCTCTGTTTCTATAGCTTAAACCAACGTTGAGCCCATTGCTTATTTTTATAAATACAGTTTTACTGGAACACCACCATTCTGAGCCCACACTCATTTTGTACATCGTTTTTGCACAACAATGGTAGAGTTGAGTAGCTGAGATAAAGAGCATGTGGCCTGAAAAGCCTATGATGTTTATTATCTGGCTCTTTAAGAAAAACTTTGCTGACTTATCCCTGTTCACTGAATCTGTTTCCTATGTCCTTGCCTCAGCTGATTCTGTCCCAAATGCATGCCTTCCTCCACAGCGCTTTCCAGAAGGGGAGGCTCTGCTCCAGTATCCCACATGGCCCATGTAGGATAGCATAGGGATGAGGAAGAGATGCCCTGTCTCTTACTCCTCAACACTCCTTTGAGGTGTACTCCATCAGGTTAAGATACGTCTCATCTGACACTCCCTGTGGCTGCCGTCTATTAATCTCTCCATCAGTCCTTCCTATATGCCCCTGCCTATGCTCCTTCCCCAAGAACGGGCCTCACACTGAATGATTTCAATACCACTGTGAAGATTTCAGCCAACATCTTAGTCTGATAGCTCCCTGACATTTTGCCTTGACTCCATCATTATGTTTGAGCCAATCACATCCATATAACACTCCATATTTTATATTTAGTTATCCAGAATTATTCTGAAATCCTAAATCCTGGGTCCCACTTTCCTTATAACCTGCAGCTCATTGACAGATACTTGAAGGGGGCAGAGTGTAATGTTCCTCCAGGAAGCTCCCAACTATCTTAATGTTAATGGCTTGTTAGAAGGAAAAACAACCTTCACTTGACAATGGCAAGGTCTTTGGTATCCTGGGAGTCTTCTTTAACATAAGAAAATCCTTTTGAAACCTCCCTTTTCCTTACCTCCCCAACCCCATAGTATCTAATCAGCCAGCCCTCATAACCCCGGGGCAGCAGCTCTTTCTGCCCATGGGCCCTGTCCCCACGCTTTAATAAAACCATCATTTTGCACCAAAACAAACAAATGAACAAAACCCAAAAAACCAAAACCAAAACAAAAAACCTTACCTTCTCTACCTCTCTCAGCTCCACCAGCCTGGAAAATCACCAGAGCTGGCTCAGTCTAAGTGTTGCCTTTCTCCCCTTTATGCAAGGCCTAAAAAAGGCACAGACCTGTCTAAATTGGTATCATTATGAATTTGTAGCCTCAAAATTCAGCTGGGTCTTCAGGATTGGAATTGATGTATCTTTGATTTGCTTTTTTTTTGCATTCTTCACAGTGTCCACACCTTCCCATTTTATAGTCTTGTTATCAGGCTGGATATAGACCTTGCTTTCTACTTCAGACAGCAATCACTTGACTGGGATTCCTTCAATGTTCGATCCTTGCTTTAGAAATTCACCTGCAAAAATTACTATTGCTCCATGTTTCCCTGTGCTTTTAATGACAACCCAATCTTTGTGTGCTGAGTCTGCAGCAAAATTATACCCATTTTTCAAGTGTCAGGCTCGATATAATGTCTTCATGAGCTCCTGTCATTGGTACTCCACAGCATAAAACACTTATTGTTTACTGTCTATATTTCTTGCTAAACTATAAGCTCCATATACCACATAGCAATTAGGGAGCATAACATCACAGTAGAAGTTTAATATAAATGATATTTTGTTACAGGCAACAAACCTCCATGAAGAGGGGAATTCATAAGTGACTCCTTAAAAGCTTCTTGATACCCACATAGATGCTAACATTCAATAGGTATATGCCATCAGTTCTTTTTCTGAAAAGTTTATGTGTGGGTGGATTGAATTTTTATTAACCAAATCCATTTTTAAATGTACTGGAGGAATTCTGGATATCTTAGAAAACTCAACTATATGGCAAATTGATTTTTTTTTTTTACATGGAAAATGCTTTTATAATAAAAATAGTCAAATTACTATTTTTGTTTTTTTAAGTTTACTTTTTCATATATTGGATTTCTTAAAGTGTAGTTCAGCTGTATATGCATACCTCATTTAAAAGATAAATGGATTTCTAAAGAGTTATATGTCAATCAATTTTCCATAAATATGTAATCACTGAATTCTGAGATGTATTTTAGAAATAATTTTTCACAATAAGAAAGTGGTCTCTGGATGTCATTAAAATATTTAAGAATCAACTAATAACAAAGTTAACTCAGTCAATAAGAAGTACTATTCCAAAACTCTAGTATGGTATGTAGGGTGCTAGAAGATGCCTATTTAATCATTAAACGTACCTGCTCCTGACTTGGTATCTTCAGTGCAGGTGGTAACACCTCTGTTTCTAGCACAGAAGTTATTGTATTACCTTTTCCAATTTCCCTCCTGCCCTCTCTTTGGTCTTGTTGAACTGACTTGCTTACTTACAATCTTCTGAATCTGTGCTTGCTTACACTTAGTAGGAAACAGACTAACACAACGTGAAAAAGGGAGAGAAAATGAGAGGTGGATAGGAAAATAGCAAGCTCAAAAGGGTAATAGCGGGGGCAAAGGAGTTACCTTGGCAATGTGACATGGTGGGGAAGTCACTCAGTCTGAGGGCGACAGAAAATGAGCCAGGCAACACAGTGACCAAAGAAACATTTAAGAAGCAGACAATGAATCAGCTTTGGTCAAAGTCAAGTAATTAAGGGACTGATGTTAATTTTCACATTTCTAAAAGGCACCACCTGGGGTTCACCTTTACCTTGAACACTGATCTGCCCCTGAGGGGGCTGCTTACCTCTGCGAGGTAGAACTCGTCATACTGCCGTCTGAAGCTCTCTCCTTTGTGGTAGTTGCTCGCGGCTACTATCACATCCACAGTCACCATGCTCAGAATGAACATGTGGAACACTGACGACCGCATCATTTGCTGAGGAGGCAAAACAGATACACTCTCAACAAAGACAGAAACCGCTCTAGGAAGTTACCCCAACTTTATAGAGAGGAAAATGGAGGCTCAGCAGAGTTAAATAACTTTCCCACTGTCACACAAGTATTGCAGGTGGACCCATAATTTGGACCCAAGTCTACTGCCTCCACTGAGGTGAAATAATTAGGCATTCAAAAATAATGACTGTTATTATGATGGCTAGCATGTATTCAATGCTTACAATGTTCCAGGCCATTCTATAAGTATGTTATTTACTTTATCTCTTTTCATCTCCACTGTAGCCCTACACAGTAGGATATATTCCTCAGTTTTTCCAGTGAGTTCAGAGAGATTAAGTCATTTGTCCAAGATCACACAGCAAGTACACAGTAGAAGCAGGCTCCATACCCAAGGCTGTTGAAGTCCCTCCATGGTGGGGTAGACAGTATATAAAAGGAGAGAGTACAGGCTGAAGGCCTCGGGCAGCAAAAAAAGGAGAGAGAAGCTGGCCTATGGACAGGACCTGAGTGCATAACAACGAACCACTAAATCACATCCCTTGGCACCAACTGCCCAGAGACTAGCGCCACCACGCATGGAGGCCTTGTTTCTTCTTGGCACGTAGGGGCACGGATCCTTCCATTTGATCTGACCTGAGAATTCTTCAATTTTGGCAACTAAAAGCACCTGACTAAAGTAGAACCTGGGTATGGGAAAAGAAAAACAGGGCTGCCTCCTCTGGGCCGCTGTCTCATGCATTCACGCATGTGACTTCACACAGTCTTCCATACCCTGCACTTGTCACTGAGGATGTGGGCTCAGAGCCAAAGTGCATGGAGCGGTGATTCCGCCACATACAAGTTCTGCAGCCCTGGGCAAGTTAGCTAAGGCTTTCTGAGCTTCCGTTTCCTCATCAGTAAAGTAGAAATAACAGTGGCCACTCCAAAAGTTGTTACCATTTTAAGTGAGTCAATATTTGTAAAGCGCTTAGAGCAGTGCTTGCATATTATACGGGTTCTACAAAGATTTGCAATAAAAAATAAGTGCAATTCTGTGAATCCAGGCATTTTTTTTTCTGTCCAGAAATGGGAGATTAATTGCCCAAGGTCAAAGAATTAATTATGCGGTGTATTTGACGGAGTCTAGGACCAAGGGAGATAAATAAAGGTGGTAAGATCTAATAATTTGAGAGATGTCGGAGCTATTGGAAAAGCAGGTATTTAGTAAGGGTCTGTGTATGGAAGCGTTACATCCATGTGCCTTTGACTTTATAGGTAATACAAAATCAAATCCCAGGATTGCCAATCAACCTATTTAAAGGCACACGAATTTGCTTGCAGAAACTGACCTTCATAAGACAGATAAGCAAATCAGCCGGCACATTTCTACTCTCATTAGAATTTGTATTGTTATTTGGTCTCTCTTGAATTGTGAGAGTTACATTCCATAACTATTATTCCTTTTCTATACTCTTTTCAACATAATGTTATATTAAAAATATTTCAACAGACTTCTACTTTATCTGCATGACAGAAAAGCCACAACTTTCTCTATTTTCCTTAGCTGTGGATTTGTGTCTTAAGTAAACTGTTATTACTGAAAGATCCAAACAAAGCTTTTAGCCACAGCTGTCAAAAAACTTTTAAATTGGTTTTGTAACTGCCACAGCTTCGCTTTGGTGTTGTCATTATAATTAGGTTGTTTTTTGTCTGAATGTCTACATGTCCCTGTTGGTACAGAGTCACTAAAATAATCACTTACAATGGATTTTGATACACTATAATCACCACGGCTTAGCTTTCTCCAAAGTAATAACTTTCAAATATTAAATAAGAATTAAGGTGACCAGTATGTGCAGTAGCTAAATCTGAATATTAGAACCAGTAACTCTAGCTTTGAAGTGAGAGCTAGTGACATGGTCCACTTCAGCTCAATTCAATCCAACCCATGTTGGCTGGCTGTCGGTTTCCTTAATTAAGCAGAGGGCTAGAAACATCACATTTAGACTCATGCTTACATCTATAGGACAGTACAAATTTATACCCTTCGATTTTTTATTTTATTTTATTTTTTAAAGATTTTATTTATTTATTTGACAGAGAGAGACACAGCGAGAGAGGGAACACAAGCAGGGGGAGCGAGAGAGGGAGAAGCAGGCTTCCTGTTGAGCAGGGAGCCCGATGTGGGGCTCGAACAGAGGACCCCGGGATCATGACCTGAGCCGAAGGCAGACACTTAATGACTGAGCCACCCAGGCGCCCCTCCTTTTACATTAATTTTTATAAAAAAATAAAAAATTGGGGCACCTGGGTGGCTCAGTCATTAAGTGTCTGCCTTCGGCTCAGGTCATGATCCTGGGGTCCTGGGATCGAGCCTCGCATTGGGCTCCCTGCTCAGCAGGAGGCCTGCCTCTCCCTCTCCCACTCCCCCTGCTTGTGTTCCCTCTCTCGCTCTCTCTCTGTCAAATAAATAAATAAAAAATCTTAAAAAAAATTAATGTAAAGGAAAATGTTACATTGAGTCAGTTCCACAAAATATTATATAACTTGAGATTTTTCAGAATTATTTAACATGGATGTGGATATATATATAAACCTATAAACACACATATGCATGTTTGTGTATGTATATGTATACATTTAGGTATATATTTCTATATATAACATAAAACTCTTTGGATCCTGCATACACATTCAACTTTTTATGGTTCCCTTCAATTGCAATATCATTTTGGTTTATATTTTAAAAAAATCAGATAAGTTTTACATATATTTTTAGTTTGGCTCTGATCCAAGAAAAACCAATTGTATGTGACAGTTGGAATTACCAAAATACAAAGAAAAGACTATAACAGAACCATCCCCAAGGCAGCAGTATGTGTCAGGAATGCTCAGGAGCCTTAACTACTCAAAGTGTGGTCCCCGGACCAGGAGTTTCCTGGGAGCGTATTAGAAATGCAAACCATAAGAGACTCTTAATCTCAGGAAACAAAATGAGGGTTGCGGGGGGGGGGGGGGGGGGGGGGGATGGGGTGGCTGTGTGATGGGCACTGGGGAGGGTACGTGCTATGGTGAGCTCTGTGTATTGTGTAAGACTGATGAATCACAGACCTGTACCCCCGAAACAAGTAATACATTATATATTAATAAAAAAAAAAGAAATGCAGGTTTTTCAGGCCCAATCCTAGACCTACTGAATCAGAATCTGCATTTTTAACAAGGTCACCAATAAATTAATGTGCATATTAAAGTGTGAGAGGCTCTGTTGTAGAGGACACTTCTTGAGTAGCAGTTTAAACTGGGTGACCTATAAATTTTTTCACAAATTCACAATTTCATGACTCTGAAAGTCTATAACCACTGAAGAGAATAGAACAATACTTGCTGGAATATTAAGGTAATATGTTAGGATACACCACCACAAAATGAATGCCTACCTTCCCCCCACTCTTCAACTCCAAGATTAAAACCCAACTAAACCAGGTTCATGAAGAACAAAGTATGTGTTGGCTTTTCAATCATTTGGGGCAAGTTTTATGAAGACCCATCACAGACTCTTTCATAAAGTCAAGTGATGTCTAGAATCTGGAAAAGGCAAGAAAATTGTTTCTTCCCTAGACCTCCAAAAGTAAGCCAGTCTTCCTGAGACCTTCATTTTAGCCAGCTGAAATTCATTTTGGAGTTCTGACCTACACAACTATAAATAATATGTTGTTGTAAGTCAATAAGTTTGCGTTAATGTGTTACAGCAGAATAGGAATCTAATAGAAATATTGTTCGTGATTTTGACATACTCCAGTTCAATCATCTCCTCCGAAACCTGACTGCATACAGCACTAGCGCTACAAAATTCTACCTCACCAAAGGGCTCCACCCAAGGTGATATGCCAGTAGGGGTCTCTGTAAACTTTATTACTACAAATGTAAACTCATTATGGCAACTAAGGTTTACACCTTACTTTGTTTTAGAACGTGTAATAAGACAATGGGTCTGCAGCATGATACTGAATCTCAACTCAAGCAGAAGAAGGAGAAAGGTCACTTTTCTTTTATTAGTTCTGAGTCCTATCGTGAAAGGAATGTTCTCAAGAGACTGTGAAGTCTACACCAAATATAGATAGGGATCCTCACTCAATTCAAATTGACACCAAGATGTATTATCAAAACAAGACCACCATTTGAGTGCTTGGTTTGTGGCAAGTTTCCTTCCAAGCATATTGCGTGCTGATGTAAAAATATCATTTAATCAACAACCCTGTGTGATAGATGTTTTGTTATCTCCTTTCACATATGAAGAAAGGACAAGGTAAGGATAAGCAGACTTCCAAACTCATAGAGTTAGAGAGTAGTCTCATATGTTTTGGGGCACCTGGGTGGCTCAGTCATTAAGCATCTGCCTTTAGCTCAGGTCATGATCCCAGTGTCCTGGGATCAAGCCCCGCATAGGGCTCCCTGCTCCGCAGGAAGCCTGCTTCTCCCTCTCCCACTCCCCCTGCTTGTGTTCCCTCTCTCGTTGTGTCTCTCTCTGTCAAATAAATAAATCTTTTTTTTTAAAAAAAGAAAGTAGTCTCATATGTTTTGAGTCCAAAGTAGGTGCTCTTTTGCCTTCTAACAGGCAGTCAAAATGCTTCTGACACTGTTCTATGTATTAAAGAAGAAAGAACAGCAGCTCCTTCACTAAGTGTTTGTGAGTAAATAGAGGGAACAAGTTTGTGAACCTTGTATTTGAAAGCTGAAGATGACCTGTTCCTCACAGAAGGGGGTAAAGTCTCCAGGGTGGGGAAAAAATATCAGTTTGAAGGCAGGCTGAGCTGAGTTCAAATCTTGACTCCGTGCATGATTTCACCTCTCTGTGACTTAGTGTTTGTATATGAGAAATGAATTTGAGAGCACCTACATCTCTAGGTGGTAACATGAATAGAAATGAGACTATTTAATATACAGTCTAACACATAGCCAACATCTTGCATTCAGGACTCTTATTATCATTACTACTGTATT